ATATATATATATATGAGAGAGAGAGATACTATTGTAAATCCGGCATACTATTGTAAATCCGATAAGCAGTTGACTCATCGAGGGTGGAGGTTTGGGAAACGCGTGGCACTGATGCAGGCGATGGGATTTGATTGATGGCGGATTTAATCAAGTGTCATATTAATTTTGGCTCGTTAATCCGTTAGAAACGAACCAGTTTTTCCTCATGACAAAGCATAAAATGCGATCAATTTCATTCCCGTGTCCTTTGTCAAAAACCACCAATCTGGCTCTGAGAGCACATCAACAGAAGTATTTCATATTGCAACACCTGCAAAACAACAACAACAGTGTTTCCTTTAGCAAACTAGTGATTTAAGGAGGAGACAAATACTTGAATATGGATGACAGGAGGAGGAAAGCATAAAAAATTGCAGGGTGAGGCCCAGCTGAGGTGAATCGTGTATTTTGAGCGTTGGGAACAAGTTTGGTGTGTACCCTTTGCTGCTGTGGCTGGTTGCTAAATCCATTATCAGAACCACTGGCACACCGACTAAATGCCGACCCTTAAACAGTCTCCAAGGGATCCGCTCCTCGTTCAGGCCATATCAAAGCGAGCCCGACCGGAACATAGATACAGATCACGGCTGGGAAGCAAGAAGTATGCGTTGGAAGTTTTCCCGAGACGCTTATGTCTGATCTAAAAGTATGAGGGCTAAATGGAGCTTCTTGATGTATTTAATGTAGTATTTCCCTGCCTCTGCTTTGTTCTTGCAGGTATAATCAACCACAAATACGATCCTGGTCCTTCTCTCAAGCAGTAAGTATAATGTGTAGGGTCAGTCTGTCTAAACGTCATATACGGTGTATGCGTGCGGTGTGCAATGTGAGGAATGCCACTGGCTTCAGCCTTTGGCAGGAGGAGGTGGTGAAAGCCTTAATTACAGTCCCATTACATTTCACACACAGTTATGACAACACACACACACACACACTTTCTTTCCTGCGCTCTCGTATCAGACACTATAACCACCAGAGCGGTACACAGCAATGCAACGTGCAGGTCTCGGCAGCCTGAATCAACACTGATGTTGCTCAACAACATTGTTTGATATGAAATCATCTCACCAATTATTGGAGTGGAGCACCATGACATTGTGTGCAGATATTAACGGAGTCCTTCTCACTTTGGTAACCCCCTGACTTTTCAACTGTTACCAGCTATTCATCTGTGGAACTCCCTTCCTGGTAATCTAAACCAGGCAAATTCAGCGTCCTCTTTTTATTTATGTATTTATATCTTATTTTACCTGTTTGATTGTGTTCCTTATTTGCCTTCATGTTTATTATGAAGCACTTTGTAACTTTGTTTTGGAAAGATGCTACACAGATACAGTTATTATCGTTATTATTATTATCCCAATAAGCTAAAGACAATGAACATAAACATCAGCATGTTGTCGCCATAAAGCATGTTAGCATGCTGGCATTAGCATTTAGCTCAAAGCAGTTCCTCACAGAGCTGCTAGCATGGCCTTGTTTTGAACCTCATTGGCCGTGCTAGAAGTGGAAATTGACCCAGCATCTATTGGCTGTGGCAGAAGAAGAAATGAAATGACTGCAAGCATACACTAAGGATCCCTTTGCTTGGCTTTGCAAACACACACACACACACACACACACACATAGAAATCATATACCACAGTACCATGAGTTACTGTCACTTAGTGGCACATCCACCTCCACTGGTGGCATTTGAACAAATCCCATTTGTCCAGATTCATGGTCCGACAGCGACTTGTTGTTGCACCAAACAAGAAAACCTTGCCCACCTCTTGTCAGCGTCCGTATAGGATAGAAGGGGCAATACAGGGATGTATGGAGTACTTCACTGCTGTTGTTCCTGAAAAGTAATTCATCTCAAATCCTCATTAACTGCCATTCAAATGCTGCATTTAGAGCCGTAGATCTAAACGGATGTGGGGACCAGTGCCGGGGGCAACTGGGCAATTACTACCAACAGCACGTGAGCAAGCTAGAATATGATATCATCTCCAGCCCTGCACCCTTCCCCCTGTACACTGTGTGAGATTCCCCTGCTGAATAACAGCCACTCTGTTTTGCGCCCCTCTCTCATTTCTCCCTGACACACACACACACACACACACACAGTTTCTGGGTGGGGTAAGGTGGGGGCAGGGGGGACACTAGCTAAATGCCGTGACAATTCTCAGCGTGGATGGTGATGGGAGATTGAGTGCTACAATGGTGTGACCAATTTGCATTCCCGTGAATCCTTCAGGCCCTCGTCATGAGTCGCAGGCAAAATGACCTCACTTCCACCCAAACACAGCTTCAGCGAAATGCCCCTTTTAAATCCCCCCAAAGTGGCATGCTGGGACTCCCCCCCCCCCCTCATCGTAGAGACGAAAAGGAGAAAACGAGTAGTGTGAATGGTGTTGAAATCCTTTATTTGATTCAACACGTTTAATTGAAATGTCAAAGGGGAAGCTTTTTGGGGGGGATTTAGGGGTAACACAAGGGAGTTCCTTGATATGGATGTGAAAGATAGGGTGACAAATAGGGGGGGGCATAGAGGAAGCTACAGTGTGAGAATGTGAGAGATATAAAGGGAGGAGGGGGGCTCTCTTCATCGTCACTTCATTCCACTCGCTGCAGTACAATGGCTAGTGGAAAGAGAGAAGAGGCCCGTGTCTATTTAAGCAGAAGAAATGAAATGGAGACTATAATAACGCAGGATTCAAGAATGCGTCTGCTGGTTCACCGCCGTCCCGGCGCAGGACAACCTTGAACCAGAACATCCAAGCCGCTGCACAGATACAGCTCGAGCAGGGATGTTATGACTACAAACCCAGTGGAGGGGTGTTGATAGCCAGGTCACAGCCTCCACCAGCCAACTGTCTCCCTATTTCTGGAGGAAAACATAGTGTAATTTATGAATTTGTATTTTTTTTTTGTAGCACCCATCCTTATGGGTTCTAGCTTTAACAATCACATTACACATCCCATTAGTAACAGTGAACTTAAACTTAATCAGTTACTCTGTGAATGGCACATTCAGGTACTCTCAAGTAGTGATATCACTTTTTTTTTTGCAGGTCCCAAATGCGTTTTTAGAACTTTAGAGCTCAGTCAAGTCTAACTTGTCCTCGTGTCACTTAACGACGCTGAAACGTTCTTTTTGAAGAGTAAAACAAAACGCCAAACCTCAATTTATTCGCCACTACATCTGCTGTTGCTCACTGCCATTGTTTTGGTGGCTCAAAATGCTTTTACATGGCGGTAATTTAGCGACACCTAGTGGTCATGTTTGGGAACGGCGAGGAGTTACTGAGATCAACCATTCATTTAGTTCGAGTGTAATCCACGAAAGAGTGTAATACCTGATGCAACAATGGTTTAAACGCTGTTGAGTGATTTGAGTTCAAGAAATGTGCCCTCACCATTTTTTGTCGCTCGAGTCTGAGCGTGGGTGTCACCCTCTTCCTTCACCTGAGAGAGGAGGGGGGGGGTGACACCCAAAGAGGCCCTGAACTCACCTGAAACCAGCCGAGCTTCCTTTGAATGTCTTTGTCTATTTCCGACATGCTCGCGGAGGTTTGGTCAGACTTTGAGCAGAGTCTACGGGCCAGTCTGCAGTCGTTGGGGTTGTGTTGGCAGGTACAGCAACATTATATCTTTGTTAAACATAAACAAAATGGATTCATTTGCTTACAGGCGACGGTTTTTTGTTGTGGCTAGTTAGGCCAGCACAAGAACAAACAGGCTGCGTTTGACACTAACGGCGAACGTTACCGACCAGACTACAGGGATTTTAGATTTACCATCCATCCATCCATTTTCCACCGCTTATCCGGGGTCGGGTCGCGGTGGCAGCAGGTCAAGCAGGCCGACCCAGACCTCCCTCTCGCCGGTAGATTTACTTATTTATTTATTTACTTTTATAATATCTGGCTTAATTTCATTTGACAATTATTGACAGACGTTTAAGTGGTTGAATTACATATTTAAATTGTTCATAAATACTGTGATATTTAAGTTATTTGACATTTAAAAAATAAAACGTGTTCTTAGTTTTCAAAGTCTAACGTTTCTTAAAATGAGCCTCAAATGCAACGTAGATTTGGTTATGTCCTAAAGTTTAAAACGCACCTTTTACACATATTGTTTTGCATTTTTACTTTTGTATTTTTCTTGTTAGGATTAAAAAAAAAAAGTTTTTGCTTTTTATAGAGAGTTACAAGAGTTATTTCACGTTTGTATTTGGTGCTGTACACACTCGCAACCAAAAACGTGAAGCTTTTATTGTTCGCTACTTAATTGTGGCCTTGAAGGGATTTTCTTTTTTTCAGCAGTCCGGTGCAGATAGTATTTGGTTGTCAGATAGCTGCCGACTGAAGCTAGAGAGGTGCATGTTTATTGATCTCCCGTTACCACACAATCACAGATTACATGCAGGCCATCATCTGCAGATACATTTGTTCACATTTGATCTCAAAACTACTGCAGAATTAGAGGTAACCCATCACATCTGCTTACAAGCATCCAACAGGAACTTGGTTACTTAACTCTCACACACGCACATCCTCAGAGTCAGTGCGCTGTGGTTTATGTGGCGATCATCATCTAGCTCCCACAGGCAGCCGGGGTAACTCAAAAACCGGAAACAAGATGTGATGCGTAGTTTTGTGTAAGACAGCGACACACACTGATTTTTAGTTTAGATAAGAGCTGTCTACAATGGTTGTCTGTCCTTGTGTGAGCTTTTAGAGTGGCATAGCTTGTCGATACTTACCTGTGTTTGGACTTGAAGGGAATCTGTGAACTTTTAGAGGACCAGGTACGAGTCTTACTCTCTTCTTCTGTTGTTCTCACTGGGGATTGAGTTTGTGGTCGAGTGACTGAACGCCAACAACTGCAGCAGGACTTGAACTCAAGACCTTGTGATCAGGCCTGTGCTTTTACATTTCCTGACCTCAGGGCAGTTTTTTTTTCTTTCTAGCCTTTAGTGCTCAATCTGAGGTTGTGTGATGAATCTTGGGGAGGTGTGATGGGTGGTTGAGATTCTTCGTTTCTGTGACAATATACCCAGATTTTGCTGTAATGTATCGTGGCAAGTTGTTAAAATGGTTGATTGTGTGTCTGTGATTTTCCCTTTGTCTCACTCAGGCCGCTTTATAAAGGACAAATAAGGAAGTATGCAGAGGAAGTTAGTCCATAATGGCCACTAAGCTTTCTCAATATCTTGCATGTATTTTTTTTTTCCTCTGCGACTCACACGGCCAAAAAGCTATTTTTTCGAGGTGTGATACTGCAAAGAAGCTTTTTAATCGTCGATACTTTGAGGTAGTTTGGGTTCTAGTGTACGTGTGTGTGTGTGTGTGTGTGTGTGTGTGTGTCATAGGCATAATTGCTGACAGTGTAACAATTAAGCTGTGAGTCAGTGCGGTTCATGAGCATTTACTCATTGTCAGTTGTCAACTTTTTTTTCCCTGACTCTGCTTCTATTTCTATAGAATATGTAATGTAATGTAATTCTGCTTTTTCTACACATTTTCAACATGTTTTTTTTTTTCACTCTGAAAACTATTGAGAAACAATGTCTGTGCTGTTTGCCCACGACATCACTTCCTCTTGTCTTACGTTGGAGCAAAGACTTGCTCATATTCTGCCCACTCAGTTTTTAATATCGTCAACCTACGAATCGGTGTGTAAGGTCTATCTCTTGGTGTCTTTCAACAGGCTGCCTTCCCAATATCGGTGCCCCCTTCAATGGCTGCCGATGACTACAACCCTGTAAGTGTTTCTTCCTTTTTTGTGTGTGTGTCTGACATTTACTCAGGCAGAGGTTGCCTTGTTCTCACAATAATGAAATAGAAACCTTTTTTTGAATGGGGGAACTACCTCTGCTTCTCCTATTTGACAAAGAGTTGAATGTTTACAGCAACAAGGGTTCATACTCCACTGAGCACTCAGCTGCTTATCTAGTTTGGATTCTCCTGGTGTTTTAGGTTTAATTTGAGAGTTTAGAGGAAAACAAAGGAGACCAAAGAGCAGTGACAGACAAAGCACAAGAGTCAAGTCACAGATGAGGATGTTCGAGAGGAGTGGGGGTGTGCTTTAATGTGCGTGTGGGGAGAACAGAGAGAACAGCAGAGATAAAACGCATGTGACACTCGGTGCGAGAAACAGGATGTTCCGGATAACTTCTTCTTCTTCTTCTTCTCAGCTGTGGCGTCTGAGACTAGCTAATGTGTCCCTCTGACTCTCTGACCTAACGTTTGCCTCCTCCGCTCTCCTTCCCAAAGGTCTCCCTCCGGCACAAATGCAAGAGGAAGATTCGAGGAGGTAAGTTGTCACCCCCCCCACCCCGAGCCCTCATCACTTTGTCGCTCTGCATGTCCTCAACTGTAATTTGGCCCCTCTGTGGGCGTGTGTGAAGTGGCAGGGCAATTGGTGTGTGCAGAGGTCTTTTTAGACAACGCTCAGTTGCGTTCTCTTCAGTTCTTCCCTATTTAAGCTCTCTGTGGCAGTGTGTCTTTTTTTATTCCTCGGAGACGCTCACTCGAGTGCTGATCTTTCATGTCGTTATCATTATCATCTCTGGCTGATTCATAAGTGGAACAGGTAGGATGTTGTTCGGTGTTATTTTTAGAGTTCATTTGTTTGTTGACCAAACACAGCGGCCCGTTTTGACTTGAATGGAAACAGATTTCAGACTCCGCAGCCTCTTGCTTCCTCTAATGCTATACTTGCGCTTGACTGTGGCTTTGTTTCTCTCCAGATAAAGGGGAAGGTGGAAGGGGGGGTGTCTCAGTGTGTTCATGTGCATGTTGTCGTCTGTGCACAGGCAATGGTACGATGAGCAGAAGACGGATCTCGGTCAAAGAGCTGGGTCCCCCAGACCACCAGGGCTGGCTGTACAGGAAGAAAGAGAGCAAAGGCTTCCTGGGCATCAAATGGAAGAAGTACTGGTTTGCGCTGAAGAGGACAGCTCTGTACTGGTACACCAACCAGCTGGTGAGTGAGACCACCCTTTTCATCAAGAGACCCATTCATTAATGTTAACATGTTCAACTGATGTCGCAGCTCAGCGCTGTTTACAGAAACTCCAGTCAGCAACTCTTGTTTCCGCAAAAACCCTGAGAATCACTAAAGTAAATACCGAAGAAGTGAAGTTTCTGTTTCCTTCTCTGATCTGCTCCCTTGTGCCCACTCTCAAGCTCTCCAATCTCGCCATCTCTCCATCTCTCTCTATTAAACTTTGCATTTTTTTGGCTACTCCAGCTGCTCTTTTTAAAGATCAAGGCTGAGAGTACTCTTATATTTGTATTAATGTTAAGCAAACCCGTGAGCAGACCACAACCAACAATGCCTGTGTGTGGTCTCTCAATACTTTCGGCCTGACTGCTCACAGAAATATACTTTCACTTTTGTAGTTTTTAGCAAACATTGCTCAAACTGGAGTAAATATTACAGAGGTGGCCAAATGTTTTTTTTTTATTGTGGAACCGTATACATAAAGTAGGGGCCGAACAAAAGTAAATGTGTAGTTTTCAACCGGTTCCACTGCAAGTGCGTGAGTGTGTCTAGACCAGCAAACCTGATGTGCCATAGAAAATACATTTTCCATCAAAATAACTATGCAATTAACATTAATACATTTTTTTTTCACATGGCTAATTTATTTTGTGTGCCCAAGTATTACAAAAGGTATTTCTGCATGTGTATAATATATGTAAATTAATAAAGTTTAAACGGGGAGATATTGGTGTTTGTTTGTTACGATTCAAAAGTAAACGAAAGATTCATATCTGTACGTCTAATATTAAGATGTAACAAACAGACGCAGGCACGTATGGTATTGGTTTATGTGCCAAGAGGTTGAGACACGAAAAAAAATCGCAGCATTTAACTTTATTTTCAGCCACAGTTGGCTGTAGTTTGGCCACCACAGTAATAGTGCATTTGTAGTGGATGATCTTCAGTGCGCTGGTGTGCGTTGTTAATGCTTTTGTAATTGTTTTTGGACAAACATTTGAGGTATGCAGTGTAGGGAACAAAAGCTGGTTTACACCATAAAGCAACGCTTGGTTGTAATTCACTTCTGTTTGCTGTTTGATACAGTAAACAATGAAATGCATTCATAACAATTAAGTTCGGAGCTGTACAAATGATTTAATTTTTTTGGGAAGGACGGTATTTCCGCCAGAGGAAATATGTCTTTTCTCCTTTACAAGCTCCTAAAAGAGAATAAAAGAAAATGTGTTTTTGAACAAATGTGTTAAACAATATTCATCTATATATTCAAATTGAAAATCAACACACGATTTTGTCTTCTTTTTTTTTTTTTTTACATATGTATGAAATAGTGCAGTGACTCATTTGTAACACTTAGCGAAAAATGTTTTAACACATCCCACATATGGAGCCAAAGATGCATGGGGGGTGGGGCCCAGATGAGTCATACTTGTTTCTGTCCCAGCTGTCCCCTCTCTGCCAGCCTGTCGCCGCGGGAACCTTAGAGCAGTGTCACTGAAGGCGACGGTGTCACTAATAGCCCGTCAGACTCTCTCATACGGGCACACGTAACGTAGCTGACGCGCTTGATTTACTGGCAAGGTGACTTCGGTCACATCTGCTGTATGTCAACATCACACGGCGGGTTGGAAATAGAAGAAGTCGGCCGACTGCGATACAAAACGGCAGGTGTCATTGTCAGGAAGTGGTTCGACATCATCCGCTTGTTTTTAACGCTCGATGTTGTTCAATACGTGTGTTGCAGGCGGAGAAGGCTGAAGGCTACATTGACCTCACCAACTTCATGATTGACAGAGCCATAGAGTGCAAGAAGAAACAGTAAGCTCTCGGTTCAGTTTCTGGTTCGTCTCAGTCAGGCAGCTTTTACAAGTAGTTAGAATTAAAACTCTTATCTTGTATCTGTTGTGGGAGCTGAGTGGAATAGAAAGTTCTCCCACACACAGTAATAGCAATCTGAAAATGATCGATGAAGAAGAATAAACACGGAGTTTAACTCGGTGTACATAACTTCCAGTAGAAAACTTATTGCCTTAACTGCTCTCAATTAACTCTTCCCTCATGCAGTGCGTTCAAAGCTTGCCACCCACACGTCATGATGTTTTATTTTGCTGCTGAGAGCCACGAGGAGATGAACTTGTAAGTCGCATACAAGTACAACATTGTATGCAATCCCCCAAGGGTGGTTTTTTATGTTTTGTCAAATGATGAGTTGAACATTCTTTTCTTTTTTTCTTTTTTTTCTTCAGATGGTTGAATAAGCTCGGGCTAGCCTCCATTCAATATGAGCCAACAGAACGAAACACTGCAGTCGGTGAGCACACACTATTTTTGTTACCCGTTAACTGTTCTTAAATGAAAACCTTGTATCTACTAAATGACAACTTTTACTTAAAAAGCGGCTTTGTTCTGATTTAATCGCATTAATTTTGCAACTGGGTTGATCATTGCTAAGAAATGATTTTCCTCTGGATTCTGGTTGTATGTGTCATTATGAATTCTGACTTTGTGTGTGTGTGTGTTTTGTGTCTCCCATGCAGAGTGTTATAGTGAAGCCAGTGACCATGAAGAAGCTGAAAGCACAGAGATTCCCCCTCCACCATACTCTGAACAAACCCTCCGGGACTCCGTGGATGCGTCCGGTCCACCTGGAAGCACGCATCAAGTGAGTCATGTCTCCTCTCCAAACCGTCAACACTGCACCAGCACTCACAACTACACGAGAGGCTGCCAGTCTCTGGATACTGTAGTTACTCAATTAATTTATGTTTATTCTTGTGGAGCTAGTAATTTTGTAATTTAGTTTCCATATGTTATAAAGCTGCCATTGTTCAACTGAACAAAACCCTTTTTTCATTTTTATTGATATGTCTGACCGTAGTGTATCTGTATTTCAGGGTACACTTCCTCCCCCCTACTCCTCCGCAGTCCCCAGCGAAGCCAACGGTTCGCTCTCGTCGCCCGTCAGTACCATGACATCACAGAGCTCCAGCTCCTCGCTCGCCAAGCACCGGCAGTCCTGGTTGGACCTGGTGTCGCAGGCGTCCCCGTCCACTGCGGAAACGGCGGCGGTGTGCTCGGTTCAAGTGCACTCGCATCGCCCCCCGCGACCGGAGACGGAGGAAGAAGATGACCCCCAGGTGCCGGAGAGCTCGTCTCACCAGGACCCATCGGAAACGTGGTCCGAGGAAGACTGCCCTGCTGCGGAGGCACAGACGCCGGTTTCTGGTGCTGGAAATAAAGGTGAGACTTTATTCTGCTCCTTTTAATTGGTTGTGGTTTTGTGATTTGTATCATTAAAAAACCTTCCGAAAGTTGGTTCTGTTTTTTGAGATAACTTTCATTTGAAGTCATTTCCATTTCAGATTTCTGCTGCATCGTGTGAAAACATGCGAGCAGAGATGTTAACCAGAGTGTTTCTCACAACTTTGGCTTTGCTCAGAGGAAGACGTGTCGGTTAATGTATTTGCTGGCACATTTTGATCCTGTTTCTGTTTCCTTATCTTGTTGCAGGCGACAGTGTGAACGGCTCGGATGAGATGGAGAAGCTTTATATTCACCTAAAAGAGGCCAGCCTCTCCCCAATAGGAGATCGTAAACCATCTACCAAAAGGGAATTCCGAGCATCCTTCGTGAAACGCTGTAAAAACCACGCCGTCAACAATAAACTGCACCTTATCAGGACTCTCAACAGCACATTAAAGGTACATGTTCTGTTTCATAAGTCACACTTTGGATTTTATATCACACCATTACAGTACGGCTAGTGTGTGATCATTTGGAGAGCTATGTGCAATGATTTGAATTTCCCCATTTTCTTTACTCTCGTCTTTTCTGGCACAGTCAAAAGAGGCGGACCTACAGGCAATAGATCAGGTGCTGTCGGACCCGCGGCTTACCTCAAACAAGTTCAGAGTGTGGAAGGAGGCCAATGAGCCTTTGGTGCATGAGATCTGTGACCGACAGGACCAGCAGGTGGCAACAGAGGCCACAAAAGCCGCAGCATCAGCCATTGCTGTTCCAGTGATTGAGACCAGTTTATAAAGACTCGTCAGGACTGGACTCGGGAGGTCTTTACATGTTTTTGGACACACACAGACACACACACTGCTGTTTTCAATTGAGACTACTGTTCCGTATCAGCAGACGTTGAGTACTAATAGACAAGTAACTGGATCGATGAAGAAGAGTGTTTTTTAAGTTCCCAAATGGATATGACGCAGACATTTTATGATTAGCAGATCACATTAAAATGTGTCTTAGTATTACTTCTACTGTTTAATTTGTCAGGTTAGCAAATTTGACAGATGATTGTTTTTATGTTGTAATTTCCGTGAACCCATTCATACATTGTTTTATTTTCTGGAATGATGCAGTACGTTGTAATAATGGATACATTGTTCACTTTTTTTGAAACACTTTTACTTTTTTACAGTATGTTTTATGCTTTGATTTCATCAGTAATGAACACATTTTAACTGTTACTGTTCAGCCAATTATTGGTGCCATGCACCATCACTGCCTGTTACACATGTGTTATACAGCAACTATTGTCAATGATTGGTAAGTGCTGCTCGCCCTAGAAATAATGTCATCGTACTAGAAACTGAACACCAGGGGCCTTCGCTAATTGAATAAATGTTGGTCATAATTTCAGATTTTAAAAGTCAACGTGTCAAATTATTGTTACTTAAAGCCAAGACATAAGAAATCCCCTCATTCCCATAGAAAAAGGCTATGTAATGACTCATTTTGCATTCTACTTAACCAAAACAAACTATTTTTAGATGGATAATTCCAACATGTATGCATACATGCTTTATGCAACATTGACAGTGACATGCAACTTAATTTATATTTTATTGCAAATGTGAGAAAGACTTAATTACTAACCAATGCTATATACAGTCTTATTGGACTTAAGGCAGGGTGTAGTAGGATTAATTTGCATTTAAACACATGATGCATGGTGGATAATTCTCAGGAAAACATACCCTGTAATATATTCTTTAAGGCAGACCACCTTGGCCCCTTACAAACAAGTCCAGCAGACTCGAGCCCTGTAGTTACACATAAGCAGCACGTTATTCAGATACAAACATCAGACATTATGCATATCATCCAATGAGCAACAGGTTTATGGAAGGCCAGCAGGGGCCTCTGACATGGTGACAACACCTACTGGTAGGGGCCCAACCAAGCTCCAGGCACAAAGATGTATTTTTTTTTCTGGATTATGTTTCATATGTTGTGCATGTTAAATATGAATTCAGTGTAAATAGTTGTACATTGATGTACTTTGATTCTGGTATGAAAGTTAGCGTGCTTGTTTGTATACAGGGTAATAAAGTGTTATTACAAAAATTAACATTTTCGTCTTTATCTAAACGTTCAATGTCGCCGTAGATGATTGTGCGTTTGTGTGCAGCAACCGCGGCTGCGATACAAAAACAAAAAGCAGAGGGGACATTTGGGTACTACTTGTAGTGTCCCGAAAGTGACGCTGGGAGTCGTCGCTCTGTGCAGATTTCTTGCTGAGGTTATGCGCCATATTGGCAGTCTCCTCCATCTCACCAAGCGTCGAGCATGCATGTCTCTAACCGGTTATTGAGGAGATATCTGTAAATATTTACAGTCACCTGCGACCGACACCATGGAGGCCGTGAAAGCCTTTAACAATGAGGTTTGTTTGAAAACAATTGCACAATTCGGAACACATTGAGAGTAGTAAAACGTTGTCTTGTTCACATTTTGCGGTAGCTGGTATGCTAACTTATAGCATCGAGCAGCAGAAAAGGAGGTGTAGCCTCACACAAGGCCGCTGTTTGTGCACAACAATACAGCGATAACGTGACGTTATTCAGCGGGTAATTAACGCTGACCGTACTGACTATAGCCGTGAAGATAATATGTTTATCAACGCACATCGTGCTCGGTTGCCAGTATACGAGCAGATGTTTTCCACAGACTGTTTGGTTTTCTATTAGCTACAAGTTAGCAAAAACACGCCTCAGTTGCGAGATAACTTGGTGAGCTAACTAGCGTTGACTCAACGCTACATGGACGTGGGGGTGAAAAACACCTCTCACTCGCTGCCAGACTGTTATTGCCATGACCGAATACGTGTTAGCGCCCCGGTGTTAACGTGACCTCAAACTGAATATAACGTTAAACGACCGGGTGACCTGGTTAGTTAACAGCGAGTACAAATGGACGTCTAGCGCTTGCTAGCTCGCGTTAGGGTCACCATTAACTTTAGCCGTCCAGAGGGCTCACAGCTAGTATTGTTAGCGCACATATTTGTCTGCATTGGCACTGAAGGCTGTCTGTGCTTTGGCTCAACGTTAGTCAGTGCACATGCTCGCCTCCACATCCACTCATAGTTATTTACAAGTCATGCCAATTGGATTCCTCAATTGAACGCAATTACGTCATTTTAATAGTACCAAAACAAATGCATCGGCTCATTATGAAACGTCCAAAATGATGTTTTTTTTGCGTTAGACTACTGCTTATAATATAGCCTTGGGTGAGCATTGACGTTATGTCTTCGTAGTAACGTGTTGTGACAACAATGTGTGTTTTCTGTTGTCATTCTTTCAGCTGTACTCATTGAATGAGTACAAGCCGCCCATCTCCAAGGCCAAGATGACCCAGATCACCAAGTCTGGAATCAAAGCTATAAAAGTAAGTATGTAGTGTTGAAGGATGAGGCAGGTAACGGGGAATAAAGAAATGTTCACGAAAGAGACATGCTCTAAAACTCTCTAATATCTTTAATATTTAAACTTAGGTGAAATTACTCTCAGGGGAAAGAGCAGCTCCACAACTGATCTCGAACATGTAGCGAGTTATTAAAGGTGTTTCTGTTTTTAGAGTGATAAATGTGAAGACTGTCAGCAATAAAAAGGAACAGATATTGACTTCTATTCCCAACATAGAACCTCTGTTTTAACCACAAACTGCACGATAGTATTTTACTTGATTAATAGGACACTGCCTTTCAAACGATGTCTAAATACTACTTTATTAAACGATGGCCTATTTGTGGTTGATGAATTATAAAAAACTAAACTCAAGCTAACCTGGAAACAACCTGGAAAATGCAAATGTGGACTCTAAAGGACTGATTTCAATTATACAGCAACATTAAATTGTTATTATTATACCCTCATTGGACTTTTGATCCATAATAACGCAACTCATCCACACAGTCTAGTGCATTGTTTTTTACATCTTTATAACCTTGTGAATACCTCTCTACAATATGTAGGAAATAATTATTACATTTTTCGATAACAAACATTTAGATTAAGCATTCTTGTAAAACACTTGACGGGTTCGTATAAGTATTTTAACTCCTCATGACTCTATCCGTTCATAAATACCGTTGAATATGAGAACATTAGTTACAAATAGTACAAAGGATTCTGTTATTCTTCATATACGTCTTATGTTTCCTGTGTAGCCTTGAGGCTGAAGCTCGTATCACACCAGCATGTAGTTGGTAGGTTCAAAACTAAGGTGGGCGGTGAGAAAGCATTTTTGGTTTGTGGAATGAATTAATTCCATATTAACTACAGAACACATGGTTTGGGACTAAATCGAGTGTGCTTAACAATCCGTATCACAAAGTCGCGTATGTTTAGGGTTTAGCAGTTTTGTGATTTGCGTTTTTTAATATATGAAAATAAGACGGCTAGACCAGGATATGGCAGTCTTTGGATAACACAGTGTTCTGTTCTGTGTAGATATTGGTTTTCAATTATATTAGTATAGTATCAAAATCAACTTGAGTGTATGTGGCCTTTTAGATCGGGTTTCTAAATACACCTAACAACGTGCAGGATTTTGTGTTATTTACAGCTCCGATCTCTCTGAAATGTCTGATCTTGCATATTCACATGCTGTTTGCAGGATCTAAAATTAGGCACTTGGGAGGCTGCTGATGCACAAGAAAAACACATTTATAAGCTATGCTTGTTCAAATAAAAATCTTAGAAAAATATGCAATAACAAAAAATTGGATGATGCCAAAAAATTTGAAATTGCATTAAATAATGTAAAGAAAATAACCTAAATCCCCAAAACATAGTATTTTTATTTTATACTAAAGAAAATGAAAGTAACATTTTGCACTATGAGGACTGTCAACTAATATTCTATATTCTGATATATAATCGAATAGTAAAAAAAACAAAAAGCAGCGCTACCGTGGCCACGACTCGCTCAACCCACTTTCATTAATGGAAAATCAAATATAATGTTCGTTCAAGCTGAACAAGGAATAATTCACCAACAACTGTAACGTCGGCACCTGGTCCTAACGGCAAGCGTTACATTATGTCACGTAAACAAATGTTTGGGCCAATTCTGTCAGCCCCGGTATAAATTCTATTAGCTTAATGTGCAACACGAGGCCCCTTCCACAGCAGACGTTGTGAGAAAAGCCCAGATGTTTCTGACAGCATAAATAGAACGGAGCCGTCATTAAAATCATTTTATTATGTATGTGATATATCAAACTGCAGTGGTTCCTTCTACTGTTTGAGTGAACAAATGGTTTTGAATGGAGGCTCTGTGTTATGTTAGAGCAGACTGGTTGGTGTCATACAGGTCCAAGTGAGCTACACAGACAGAAGAAGAATAGTGGGATTACTTGTGCGGTGGTAAAAATATTCTAAAGTCATCTTTAACTTTAAAATCGAAATTTTTTTTTTTTGTTCTGACACACTCATGGATCACATGTTGAAGGTAGATTGTGATATTTTGATTCGTTGTCTAAAGTTCTCTGTAGATAACGCAGCAACGTGAGACATAAACACACGGAGTCAGCAACTAAACACACCTCAACGTGTGAGCCGTAACCCGATCATTCGTAGGCACATAGAAACTTTTTATTGCACAATATTGTTTGTTAAGCAGGAACATATCTAGGGAGAGTTTAAAAGGATAATCATATTTATTGTAATAGGCCCACATCATAAGAGCTTCCATACAGACCGTAAAGCCCTCTGAGGCAGATTTGTGATTTTGGGCTATACGAAATAAATTGAATTGAAAATAAAGTGAATTAATAATTATATTGCACTCGCCAGCAATAAAACATATCTTTGGGAAATCCTTCCCCCTTTTATTTAGTTTTATATACGTGATTTTTAAAACATTAAGATCAAGTTTTCCCTTTGAATCAGGATTTGTCTTTTATTTCGTTGTATTATTACTACCATAAATGTTATTATTACAACATGATCCTGACAGCACGAGTCCAGGACACCAGTGCTTAATGGTGTCTCTTCTGATGATGTGTGTCCTCATCCTGTCTGTACTGTCTTGTTTCTTGAGGATCTGCTGTGCTTCTGGTGTTGCTGTTGCCTCATGTTGCTTGAGAATAACTCCCGTTTCCCCTTCCCTCAGCAGCTCTCCCAGCTCCCCCAAAGCACTGACAGTCAAGCAGGAGGATGGGGTGGAGAGAGTTACAAAGAGATAAGAGAGTCCCTTACCAGCTTAGGTAGGAGTATGGGTTGTTTCACAAGGAAGATGGAAGACGACTTAAAAAAAAAAAAAAAAATCATTTAAAAGTGAATTTGCTCCCACACACCCAGAGAAGCCCTCTGGCTATCATGCGTTGGCTTTGTGCTCTTTGATTTGTTTGACGTTGAAGGTGCAATCTTGTTCATTTTTCTCTTTTGTATTGTCTGACGACAGTGTTTGTGTCGTTGATGCACCTTTCTTTTTTGGTAGTTGAGTCATGACATGTTCCTGAGATGCTTCACACTGGATAATGATGGTGCTTGATCCATCATTAGTGGATGTGGTGGGTTTAAACTCAGGAGTTGCTATGGTTATTTCTACGATTTTAACCTTTTACGTGCTGCTTTAACACGAAACACACAGTTTTGGCAATTCAGCATTCATCCTCGAGATCACATATACACCTTATTAATTTCACATGGTATCGGCCGTGCAGAATGTTTTGACAGTCGGTAGTGGTTCAAGAGTAAGCCAGTGTTAGCATCGCATTAATACGACAGCATTTATTAACATGGTAATTTCATTCTCTGAGGGTTGTCTGTGTCGCGGTGCATAAACTCCGAGTGTGTGTTTGGACAGAGTAGCAGGGATTCATGTCTGCTGCACACACACACAGGGTGGCTGTGTGTGTGTTCCACATCGGCACACATGTGGAGAAAGCACTGTGTCAAAGCGGCTGATCCGGTTTTGGTGTTTAAGACACCGTTTCGAGTGCTGATTTTATCAACAAACAACATTTATTATTTTGTGAATTAATTCAAATGTAGCCTAATCCTGAAGTATGTTGAAGAACTGATTCACGTTCACTCACCTGAGTGATTTTCTTTCCTTTATCCACACGTTTCTTCCTTTTATGCTGTTATATCCAAAATGCTGTCGCACATTAGTTCTTGAAAGGTTTAGAGTCGTCATTATTTGGGATGGTCCTCAGGAAGAAGATGTTGCACATTTTAAAGTTAAATATATCGATCTGGTGCACTTAAAGAGCCACATTAAGAGGCTAGCTCCACGAAGAGGGTTGTGCTCTTGTAAACGATTTGGTGTAATGTCACTACATCCAAGTACATTTAAGCTACTCAAGTACTGTACCATTTTATGTAACTTTATACTTTTACTCCACTCCATCTCAGTGGGGAATATTGTACTTTTGTACTTATTTGACGATATCAGTTAGTATTTAGGCTACTTTGCAGATTCAGATTCTTAATACGAAATATAAATCAACTAATAAACTGATGTATTATTAACTGGTATATAGTCTAATTATTAAGTATATAAAGTACTTAAAATTAACTCAACCTTTACCAGTAAAATGGAATTGATGAACATATTATTGCATCAATAATTCTAATATAATAATGATATAGGCCTACTGTAAGCATATTATTTTAAATGGGCCATTCTGCAGAACGAGTATACTTTTGGTATATTAAGGATATTTTGATGCTAATACATTTCTTTGACATTTTGAAGGCAGGGCTTTTACTTCCGAGTATTTTCGCACTGTGCTCTACTAAAACCATTTAATCATAAACACATGGGTGGCCCACCTACTGAGAAGTGTAAAGAAATAGTTTTGGTTCATAATGAATCTCTTGCGGGTAAAATAGAATTGAGACAGTCGAGCGAATTAATGGGAAACAATTCTCTACAGTTTCACTTGCAGTTGTTTTGTCCATTTTGCACTAAAGTTCTTTATTTAATGAGAATATACTCGCTACTTTTCACTTCTGTTTAATACACACAGGAGTATGCGAAAATAGGCTGCACCATGTGCTTATATCACATAGACTATTTATTTATTCAATTACCAGAAAACATGCTATATCGTGATATATGTCCAGATAGGAAATGGCCGTATTGCACAGCCGTACCTCGGGTGCAGTGCAGTGCTTTTCAGTCTCTTCTCTGTGTGTGTGCTGCTGGGTGTCCGGCCTAAATTGTTTGTATCATCCCGTCTTTTCTGCAGTCCTCAGTCCAGACATCCTATTTGGATTTAAGGATTTATATTTGTGATTTACACTTGTTGCTTCCTGAGTAGTTTGTGGCATTTGTCAAAATGCCACAATTCTCTACCGATTAAGATCCTCTCAGTGGAATTCATAACATATTCAGTCACTTTTGTGTGACGAACATTCATCAAGTGTCAGAGT